AGTTTCCCCCAGTTCCACTGCATCTTTCACGTCCTCGTCCCTCTTCCTGTGCCTTTCTCACTTGCACCCCAAGTCACAGTGTCTAATACTTCACGCTTCGCGTATCCCCACCAGCGTCCGTAGCCCTAGCTCAAGCCATCTCGGCTCGAGCACGCCCCCCTTTCAGGTGCGCGCCTGCCGGGACTGCTACTTCTCGGCCGCGATGGCTCTGCATTCGTGGGACTGGAACGGCCGCGCTGCCGCAGGCTCTTCCGGCCGCTGGCAGCAGGCAGGAGAGCAATGGGGCCCAGGGCGCCCCCCTGACCAGCGGGCGGAGGCCGCAGCTTCCCTCGGCGGGGCGACGCCGCGGCCGAGGGCCGCCTGGCAGGCCGCCGCAGGCAGGCCGCCTCCAGAGGCCGCCGGCCGGCCGCCGACGCGGGCGGGCCGCGGCACAGACCACGCACCTCAGGCGCAGTCCCTTGAGACTGCCTCGGCACGACGCAGACGGCAGCGCGGTGCCGCTGGCGCCGCCGCCGCCGGCGGGGCCGCGGGCGCCGCGGGCGCCGCCGGCGCCGCAGGCGCCGCTGGGGCCGGCGCCGCGGGCTCGGCGGCCGGCGCCGCCGCCGCCGCCCCTGCGGCCGCCAGCGCCGCGGCTGCCGCCGCCGCCGCCGCCGCCGTGGCGGAGGCGGCCGCCGCGGCGGCCGCGGGCCACGCCGCCGGCGCCGCGGCCGCCGTGGCCCGCGCGGCCGCCCTTGGGCCCGCCGCTGCGGGCGCCGCACAAGACACTCTCGCATCCCTGCTCTGGCTGCCAAGGGCCGTCCTTCCCCCCCCCCGTGCACGCTTCGTCTTTTCAGCGCCCACTGTCACTGGTTGCTGCACTGAGAGGTGCGTGAAGGGCGCACACTGGCTGCAGCTCCTCCCCGCCCAGCATGGCGGCAGTCAACGAAAGAAGCCTCAGACCGTCAGGTTGACAATGGCTGCAAGTACTGTTCCCGCTCGACGGAGTCAGCGAATGGGACCGCCACCGGGCTCAGCCACCCTGGGCGCACGCAGGGGCCTGCCTGGACCACGGGCTCGGGGCCTTTCACGGGGGCTCAAGGCACTCTCGCATCCCTGCCCTGGCAGCCAAGGCCACCCTTCGCCACCCCCCCGTGCACGCTTAATGTTCGCAGCGCCCACTGTCACCAGTTGCTGCGCCGAGAGCAGGTGCGTGAAGAGTGTGCACTGGCTGCAGCTCCTCCCCGCCCAGCATGGCAGTGGGGTCTGGGTGCGTGCCCCGCGTCCCGCGGGTTCCCCCCGGGGCTCTCGCATCCTGGCGCTGTCCTCCCTGGGGTGTCTGCTGCTGGGCTCGGGTCCGCCCTGGGGCCCAGGTGCTCTTGCATCCCTGTGCTGTCGGTTCAGCGGTGGCGGAGGCACCATCCTTGCAATCGTGATCCACAGGCTCCGGCGCATTGCCAGGATGTGGGATGCTACGTTGGTGCCCGCGTCGTCAGTGGCAGCGCTGGGTTGCAGAATGTTTCCTAGCGGCGGGCAGCTGCTCCCCCCGTCCTTCCACGCAGGTGCTCGCGGAGAGTAGTTGCGACCCCCAGGATCTCAGCGGCGAGTAGCTGCGACCCCCGAGGAGATAAAACGGACATCATAGCGGCGATCAGCTTCCCCACCACTCTCAGCGGCAACTTATTGCGACCCCCCACGATGTTAATGGTTCCACGCGGCGGTCAGCTGCCCCCCCCCCAAGAGGCGCATCTTGCTGCTGGCTCACACTATGTAAATGGTGCTTTGCGGCGGTTAGCTGCACCCCCCTCTCTCAGCGCAGGTGCTCTCGGCGAGAAGTGCACATTCAACAGAGACCTCAGCTGCGAGTAGCTGCACCCATCGATGTAAAATGTATCCTAGCGGCGGTCAGCTGCGACCCCCTTTTCTTCCACGCAGGTGCTTGCGGATAGTAGCTGCGATCCTACCCCCGAGAATGACCCAGGAGATGACCATGGCCCCTAGCCCTCGGATTCCGTGCCTGGCCGAGGGGTGTGGCGGTGCTTCTCCTCGCCTCTCCCCTCTCGGGCCTGGCGGGTGTCCCCCGCCCTCGGCTTCGGGGCCTGCCAGACGTGCTATCAGACGTCGGGATGGTTGCCCCCCCTCCCAGGGCCGCCCGTGTTCCGCGCTTCGTGGTCTGGCTCCCACTCTCTGCGGAGTGTGCTTCGGCCCTGGAGGACCTCGTGGTGTGTGTAGGGTTTCGGGTCTGGGGACAAAACCAATCGGCGGACTGGGCCTGGCTTGCCTCCTGGCCCACGTGTCCTCCACAGTGCAGCTCCCCCAGGCGCTTCGCCCTTTGACACCGCAGGAGGCAGCACTACCACCAGTGCCGCCCCCCCCTCCTCCGCTGGCGGTGCGTCCCCGCCTGCGGGCCCTCCCCCCCCTCTCTGAGGCCTGGCGCCGTGCCGGCACGCGCTGCGTGGCCCGCAGTCGCTTGTTCCCCCCTTGCCCTGTGGAGTGGTCACTCGGGTGTTGGGTCGCCACGGCGTGGTTCAGCCTTCCGCAGCAGGACAGCACCCAGGCTCCCACCAGCTGCCGGCCAGTGCGCCTCACCAGTTCCGCGACAGCTGCTTGACTTGCAGACGTCGTTGCGGGCGTTCGGGGTCTGGCGCCCCACAGGCGACTCACTCCACCGGCCTTCCACTTGCCTCCGCTGCAGCAGGACCCCCCCTGGCAGGCTGCGCGGGCGCTTCACCACTACACGGCGGTGCTCCCCACGCCTGCGGATCTCTTCGCTCCAGGGATCGGCATCGCAGTTGCGCCTTGGGCACAGCCGCGTGGCTCCACCTGGCACTGGGAGGCGGATTACTGAGATCTGGGCGCCGTGTGGTTCAGCCTGCTACGCCTGTACAGCCCTCGGTCTTCCTTCTGATTCGCACATTCTGCCGCTTGTCCACCTCGGTTCACACTCCGGCGCCTATGTGCGCTCGCTTGTGAATTTAGTTCATTTGGTTCTGTGCATGTGCAATTGCGCACTTGTTGTGCAGGTGCGAACCGGCTTGCCAACGTGGCGGCGGTGTTCGCAAATTCGCACCGTGCCGCATGCCCCGGACTTTGCCTCTCGCCGCCAGACCGTTGTCGCGCGGCCGCCGACCAAAAAGTATCCCCACCAGCCCATCCAGAAACGGCGCCAAAGCGAGTTGATGAGGTCAGATAAGCGTGCGTAAGAGCAAAGAGGGGAACAGCCGAACTGCGCGAAGGAGGAGGAGAAGGAGGAGGCTGGATGGATGGATGGATGGATGGATGGATGGATGGATGAGGGAGTGGTGAGAAGGATTATGAATAAGATAAGGAGGAGGAGAAGTAGGAGGAGGAGGAGGAGGAGGAGGAGGAGGAGGAAGAGGAGAAGGAGGAAGGAGGAGGAGGAGGAGGAGGAGGGCGAGCAAAAGGGCCATGCCTCTCGGAGTATCGGAGTCTCTTGGGATACCTCTTGGGCGTTTCTTGGAGGCTTTTTGGAACGTATTTGGAGTCTCTTGGCGGTCCCGGTGGGCTCTTGGAGCATTTTGGGTGCCTCGGGGGGCCTCTTGGGTCCGTTTGGGGTCCTCTTGGGTGTCTCGTGGGAGCCTCTTGGGGGCCTTGGAAGCCTTCTTGGGGCCATCTTAGAGGATATCGATCATGGAAGGGGGGGCACCCAATTACCTTCGCCCCTCTGGAACCCTCAAAATCGCCTCCTGGGGTCCTCTTGGGGCTCTCTTGGACGCTCTGGGGCCATCTTGGGGCCATCATGGGCCCCTTCTAGGGACTCTCTTGGACCCTCTCGGAGCCATCTTCAGTCAGGCTTTGGAAGGTCATCGGAAGCGAAAAATCGAGAAGTTTTAAATCACTGATTTCCCTTACCAGGTGTTTGAGGGATTTGGGCGTCTTGGGCGCGCCCAAGGGAGGCCCAAAGCCCACTTGGAATCGTCTTGGAGCGGTCTTGAGCATTTTGGAAGCCATCTTGAGCCATCTTGGACGATCTGAGGACACATTGGAGGCCATCTTGGGCTCTCCAGGACCCTCTTGGAGCCATCTTGGGTTATCTTGGACGTTCCAACCGGTCGCAAAACTCACCGTCCAGGTCCAGGGGGATGGGGGTACGTAGGGGGAGGGGTACGTAAACCCTTCTCCGAAGGGGCAGAAGGGGGTTGGAAGAGAAAGCTCCTTAGAACACCTACGCCCACTGGGCTGGTGGTAGCGGTTGCGTGTTTTACTTCGCACTTTCGAGCGCTCAGCGTCTTGGAGCGCTTAGCGTATGGATCGGAGGGCTGTTTCACCCGACACTACTTGCGTGTACGCCCTTGCGCCGTTTAGCGCGTCCACGCCTTTGTTTTCGCAAGGCTCGAAATCACCTACACGCTGAATGGCGGACCGCGACCGTAGGTGGAAAATCCGCAGATCGTCCACCAGTCAAGCTTTTCGTCATGTTGTGTTTTAGAAGGCGGGACCCTCTCGAAAGGGCCAAGCGGCTTCGTGTAACATGTCCTAGAAGAAACGAGCTCTTCTAAGACCCCTCTGGCTCTCTGGACCCCCGTGGCTCCTCTGAAGGCCGCCACTCATTCGACGCACCCCTGCAGGGGTGGTAATAGATCAAGCGCCGCCCCTTATGCGGATAAAGCAACTCTGGATTCACACTGCCTCAGGCCTTTCTCGTTCTCCTCCTCCTCCTCCTCCTCCTCCTCCTCCTCCTCCTCCTCCTCCTCCTCCTTGTCCCTGTCATCCCCAAACGTCCAGCGTGTTGAAAAACTCGGCGTGGCCAGCGCCTTCGAGCGCTTAACGTGTACAGCGGGGGGGGGGCGTGTTCCCCTCTTCACCCTTTCCTTAGTGTGCAGGGCCATCGTCGGCTTAGCGTGTGAACGGTCTGTGTGTCTCCAGCCGACGAAATGCAGACACGTTATCAGCTACATGTTGACCGTAGGAAGCTCAGCATCTCCCCTTGGACATCCACATCCCCCTCATCGTCCCCGCCCCCATCCCCCGCACAGGACAAGGGAGTCGTGCGAATCCCCGCCATGGTGACCGAGCTCATACAGGGAGCCCGCAGGGTTGCCTACGCGCAAGTGGAGGCGGGCGCGCCTTATTGGGGCACCAAGAGAGTAGATGAGGGCCGAATTCCGAGAGGTTGAGTTCAAATGATGCGACGAGCGATGAGGGAAACGGCGTAAGGTAATGATCTGTACGTATGTGTGTATATATATATATATACCCCAAGTACCGCTTCCACCCCCCGGGGCTTCGCTCAGACCGCAACCATCGGCGACAGGTCCCCGGCAACACCTTCCCAGGCGTCCAAGAGAGCCCCCGCCAACCATCGGCGACAGGCCCAGGACGCCCCCGAGACAGCCCAAGAGTGCTCCAAGGCTGTCCAAGTCAGCCCCCCGACGGCACTGGAAGCCCCCAAGAGCACCCAAGATCGCACCAGGAGGCTTCCAAGAGTCCCCGAAGAACTCTGGGGAAGCCCTCGAGATGCCACAACCCTTCCAAAAATAGCCGGTTGAAGGACCCAACCATATGCAGTTGTGAGTAACGCAGTTGTGAGCATCGTCTTCGGTGGAGATCTTTCTGCGGCCACGAAACAGGTGGGGTGTGTGCCGAAATGGGTGCCAGGGACGCATGCGAACGGTGCCACTGGGACCTTCGGCGGAGCACCTCATGGGGCCACGAAACGTGTGAGGGGTGCGCCGACGTGTAGGTGGAACTGCAATCGAACCCTGTCGCTGGGGCCTTCGGTGGAGCACCCCATGGGGCCACGAAACGTGCGAGGGGTGCTCCGAAATGGAGGCGGAACTGCATGCGGACGGTGCCACTGGCGCCTTCGGAGGATTACCCTATGGGGCCACGAAACGTGTGAGGGGTGCGCCGAAATCGGGGCGGAACTCCATGCGGACCCTGCCACTGGCGCCTTCGGTGGAGCACCCTATGGGGCCACGAATGCGCCGAAATGGATGTGGAACTGCATGCGGACCTTGCCACCGGTGCCTTCGGTGGAGCCACCTATGGGGCCACGATTCGTGTGAGGGGTACGCCGAAATGGGGGTGGAACTGCATGAGGGCCCTGCCAGCCACTGGGGCCTTTGGTGGAGCACCCTGTGGGGCCACGAAGCGTGGGAGGGACACGTAGATCGCTACGTCAGGGCCAAAAAACTCAACGGACCCTCGACAGTTTAACATCAAGCTTTTGAAACAGTTCAAAGAATCTCAACGACGACGACCACAATTGCTACAACCTTGTTGGTGCGTGTTTCCCATGTGGTTTGTTCAGAAGTGTATGTCCGTATATACATACATGCATAGACACATGCATACATAAACGTATAGATATGTAGTTGCTAAAGGAAAAAAGTGGTGTGGTGCAGCACTGCCACAAAAGAGCAGGTGTTGTTATATGGTTCCAGTCTTAGTTATCCAATCGTGTTTTGATATGTACTGGTCATACCCACCGAGGAGTTTCTGAATAGTTTGTCTAATTTCAAGATGTGGCAACCCCATGGATCCTCCACACTTTGTTCCATGAGCCTCGGCACAAGTGCCATTTGTGTATTTTAGATTTACACGCTGGACCTCCAGAGACATTCCCCAAACAGTGCTTGCACTTATGGCTTCTTACTTGTGGTCTGACGGACTGAGCCGTGTGGCCGGCTTGGCGGCGATGTAGTCGCCGTCGCCGCCCCGTCGCCGCCTTCCCGCCGCCCGTTATCTGGGCTTTCTGGTCGGTCTTGCGGCTATGCACTCGCCGTCGCCGCCTCGTCGCTGCCCGTCGCCGCCGTACCACGTAGAGTGCACGAAAAAACGACGCCTGCGGCGCGGTTTTCGGTCACGCACTGAATAGATCGCACCAAATACAAATACACATAAACGTGCATAGATTGACCACATAATTATACAACCCATATCGCACTGTACAGATTGCACCACCTAGACTGGGCAACATAGATTGGACAGCCACATCGACTGCACACCGTACATTGCACAACAGCAATTGCACCGCATGGTTTGCACTGTACAGATTGCACCACAGGGATGCACCACATATCTTGGCCGACATAGCTTGCAGCACATTGATTTCACGATGTGATGTTCGCGTTCGCGGCGCGCCTTCCGATTGTTCACAGCATATATTGCCCTACGCATAGTGCATAATATGTTTTGCACCACGTTGCACAACATCAACAGCACAATATAAGCTGCACCACATGGAGTGCCCCAGATCGATTGCAGCAGTTAGGTCACTTCACATAGATTTCACAACGTATAGTGAACAGCATTGATTTCTAGAAACACTGTTTGGGACCACGCTGGCTAATTTTCAAAGTTGCACACATAGATCCACATGTTTATGTACATACGCATATGCACACGTAAGTGAATATATTGGCATTATGCCAATCCCTCCACTGAGGCTGAGTAGTGGGTCAGGGAAGTCTTGGGTGTTTGTCGAGGTTTCTTGGGATGCCATCGGAAGCTTCTTGGAATGCTTCACTCTTGGGTACAAGATCTATGGCACAAGTGGTACCCAAGTGGTACCGATTGGGCCATATCAGTCGCAGCGGGTGTCAAACCCTCGTGCCTAGGGTGTTAATCAGATGCCCCCTATCGGGCCTCATGGCGCGTCTCCGTCTTGGGGCCTCTTGGGGCCGCTCCTCAGCCCCCTGGCGCAGAGGAGCAAAACGGCGGCCCGCGCCCCTGTGACGGAGGCGGCGCTCATCCCGGAGGACTGGGGCAGCGTGGCGGTGCATTTCAAGTTGGAGAAGCCGCCCGGCAATCTGAGCATCGACCATTGGGACCGGGTCGGCCGATCCACCCCCCCTCCTCTTCCTCCTCGTCCTCCTCCTCTTGACTCGGTTGCGCCTCAGGTTGCTCGCTAGCTCCTCCATTCTTTCTCTTTGCGAATAATTTTTCTTTGTCGCACCTCGAGGCAAGGTTTGAGGGCGGGCCGGACGTTTCGCTTGAGACTTCCTCACCATTTATGGCCCTGGATTTAAAACATTGACAACAGTTGCACCAATGGAGGGCGGGTCGTTTTCAAAATGTGACTCTCGCATTAGCGCGGAGCACATTCGTTTCCAAAAATTGCAAGAGGTTCACGATTTCAGGGCGGGTGGTTTTCAAAATGTGGTTCTCGCTTTTGCGCGGCGCACATTCGTTTTAAGAAAACGCAGAAATTTCACGGATCGAGGGCGGGTGGTTTAAAACATGTGGTTCTCGCATTCGTGCGGCGCACGGGCGTTGTAAAAGTTTGCAAGAGATTCACGGATTGAGGGCGGTTGGTTTTCAAAATGTGGCTCTCGCATTAGCGCGGCGCACATTCGTTTTAAAATTTGCCCGGGGTTCACGGATTGAGGGCGGGTGGTTTTCAAAATGTGGCTCTCGCCTCAGCGCGACGCACATTCGTCTACAAATGTGATAGATTTTCACGGATCCCCATCAGGATGCCAGAGTGTCCGAACTAATGTTCTGAAAGAATGCACGGGTCCGTTTATAATGTGATAGAGTGCCAGAACTGGTGTTTAGAAAGGATTCACGAGCATGCGGGTTTAACAATTAGGTTGATTCGTTGTGTTCGAGTGCCAGGAATGGCGATAGCGTTCTAGCACGATTCAGAACGCAACAGTCAGGTTGATCCGTGGCGATGGAATCCCGAGAACATTGTTCCCAACCCTCCTTGTGTTGGGTACTCGTTTTGAATAGAGCACTGGTATCCACCTCCCGCCCTCTCCTCCTTCTTCTCTCCTGTGTTCGCGGTGCCCTGCGGGGCTGCGATCTGCGCAACTGTCGCCACTTCGTGGGTTCCTGGGAGGCCCAGCGGAGGTACGTCTTACGCAGACCACTTTGAGGCCTCCTTGTCCCCTGCGGGGCTGCGATCTGCGCAGCTTTCTCCACTTTCGTGGGTTCCTGGGAGGCCCAGCGGAGGTACGCCTTACGCAGACCACTTTGAGGCCTCCCTGTCCCCTGGGGGGGGGGGGCTGCGATCTGCGCAACTGTCGCCACTTTCGTGGGTTCCTGGGAGGCCCAGCGGAGGTACGTCTTACGCAGACCACTTTGAGGCCTCCTTGTCCCCTGCGGGGCTGCCATCTGCGCAACTGTCGCCTCTTTCGTGGGTTCCTGGGAGGCCCAGCGGAGGTACGTCTTACGCAGACCACTTTGAGGCCTCCCTGTCCCCTGCGGGGCTGCGATCTGCGCAACTGTCTCCACGTTCGTGGGTTCATGGGAGGCCCAGCGGTGGTACGTCTTACGAAGACCACTTTGAGGCCTCCCTGTCACCTTGGCGCACCTGGCGCACCTGGCGCGCACCTGGCGCGCTGGGCGCACCTGACGCACCTGACGCGCTGGGCGCACCTGGCGCGCACCTGGCGCACCTAACGCACTTGGCGCACCTGTCGCTTCTGGCGCACCTGGCGCACCTGGCGCGCACCTGGCGCGCTGGGCGCACCTGACGCACACCTGGCGCACACCTGGCGCACCTTGCGCACCTGGCGCTCCTGGCACACCTGGCGTACCTGGCGCACCTGGCGCACCTGGCGCGCTAGGCGCACCTGGCGCACCTGCCACACCTAGCGCAGACCTCGCGCACCTGGCGCACCTGTCGCACCTGGCGCACCTGGCGCACCTGTCGCACCTGGCGCACATGGCGCACCTGGCTCACTTGGCGCACCTGGCGCAACTGGCGCACCTGGCACACCTGGCGCAACTGGCGCACCTCGCGCGCACCTGGCGCACACCTGGCGCACACCCGGCGCAACTGGCGCACCTGGCGCGCGCCTGGCGCGCACCTGGCGCGCACCTGACGCGCTGGGCGCACTTGGCGCACCTGGCGCGCTGGGAGCACCTGGCGCGCACCTGGTGGCGCACCTGGCGCGCCTGGCGCGCACCTGGCGCACACCTGGCGCACACCTGGCGCACACCTGGCGCACCTTGCGCATCTGGCGCACCTGGCGCACCTGGCACACCTGGCGTACCTGGCGCACCTGGCGCACCTGGCGCGTTAGGCGCACCTGGCGCACACCTGGCGCACACCTGGCGCACACCTGGCTGACTTGGCGCGCCTGGCGTACCTGGCGCACCTGGCGCGCCTGGCGCGCCTGGCGCGCCTGGCGCACCTGGCGCACCTGGCGCACCTGGCGCTCCTGGCGCCACTGGCGCACCTGGCGCACCTGGCGCGCCTGGCGCGCCTGTTGCACCTGGCGTACCTGGCGCACCTGGCGCACCTGGCACACTTGGCGCGTTGGGCGCACCTGGCACACCGGGCGCGCACCTGGCGCGCCTGGCGCGCTTGGCTCACCTGGCGCGCATGGGCTTCTGGGAGGCTCAGCGGAGGCACGTCCTACGCAGATCACCACTATACCATGGCGCCGAAATGTCCTTCAGTATTGAGTGGTCCTGAATCAACGTCGTCGAGCCCCTGAAGTACTTAGGCCTGATCCTTGGCCCCGCTGCCGGCGATGACGCTTGCTGGGAAGCGCCTGCCATGAAGGCTCACACACGTTCGAAGCTAGTAGGTCACAGTCATCTACCTGTCTCGCGACTTCCAGTTTACCGCAATACTCGCATTACGACGGTCTCGTCCTACGTGGCGCAGTTTCGGCCGATGCCAAGCTGGCTCATCCAGAGTGAGCTTGTTGCGCTCTCTCGCACCTTCAGGCTACCACTGGGGACGTTCTCGATGCTTGCCTAGCTGCAGCTTCGCTCAGCAGGTGGCCCGACCATCTCGCCATGGTTAGCGCTGAGCACTGGTTCGCTACTCCGCGCAGCCGATCGCACCCTCCCCGGGTTCGAGAGGCTATACCACTGGCTTCACAGACATCATCATTTACTTGGTGATCTCAAGACTCTCGCCCAGGCTGCCACTTCTCGCCGCTACCCAAATCATTGGCAGAGCGAAGTATTTGCTGAGGCGAACTTCAATTTCAAGTCGGGCGAAGTTGCATCGTCCGTCTAGTCGCCCGCGCTCCGGATGGCGGCCCGCGGCGCTGCGGATGAATGGCTGTAATAGACCACCAAAAGAATACTTCTGAAGGCCTCCACAAAAGTGAATATTTTTTGTAACGCTCCACAACAGAGATCAATGTGCAATTCTCTCCAGAACGAAGCACGAGAAGTGTTTATTCGACCCAAAAAAAAACAATATTGGCTCCGCGGCTCCGCCGTCCATGTGTTCTGCGCGGGGCGGGGCGGGAGGGCGGCTGGGCGGCAGCAGAACAAACGACAACGCTTCTTGTTTGGGAGGGGATGAGGAGCACGAGGAGGAAGAGAAAGGGGAGGAGGAGGAGGAGGAGGAGGAGGAGGGAGGAGGAGGAGGGAGGAGGGGGGAAGGAGAATGAGGAGGAGGAGGAAGGAGGAGAGGAGGAATATGCCACAGATCACGTAAAGCATTCAGAGACGCACGCGCGAGCTCCGCGCGAAAGCCTCGCGCGCGCTTCCTCGACACCGAGGTGCGCCACAATCCCCCGTTATCTCCTCTCCTCCTCCTCCTCCCCTCCTTCTCCTCCTCCTCCTCCTCCTCCTCCTCCTCCTCCCCCTCCTCCTCCTCCTCCACCATCATCCTCCTCATCCCCCTCATCCTCGTCATCCCCTACTCACCCAAACGAGGAAGCTGAAAGGTCAAAATTCAGCGGCGAGGATGCGTCTTCACTGTTTCCTCGCGCCTCGGGCCCTGAGGCGACTCCTGATCACGATTTAACGGGGACGGGGAGTGGGTAAAGGGCGGGCGAAAGAGGACAAGCAACGGAGGGGTTCTGAGGAGTGAGTGGAGGGAGGGAAGTGGGAGTGAAGGCGGGAGGCATAGAGAGGGATGCGAATAGCCAGCTGCATGCGGCAAACCGAGCCGGCGCAGCAGCGCTGCGTGAAGGAGGCGCGCTTTTCAGCGCGCGGTCTGAACAAATTTGACCTCGTACTCTGGACTCTCAGGGGCTTATCGGGGGCCTCTTGGAGAGCCTTTTTGGGACATCTTGGGGTATCTATCGTAGGGGCTCTTGGACCAAATTACATCTCGCGTGGCCTGCCTGACGTCTTCGGAGGCCGCGTCGGGGGCTTATCTGGGCCGTCTTGGGGGCCCTCTTTGGGCGCGTCCCAGTCGCCACGGAAGTCATTCGGGTGGGGCTGTCTTGGGCCGTCCAGGGGTTTTCTTAGGCCGTCAGGGGGCCTTCCGGAAGCCCTGATGGGCCAGTTCGAGGCTCTTGTCTTGGGGTAGTCTTGGACACATCGAGGGTTATTTTGAGGCCTCGTTTGGCTTGGGCCATCTTGGAGGCCCACTGGGCCGTCTTGAGCCGACGGGGGCGCAAAATGCGATAATGCGTCAAACCCGAAGGAAAATATATGATTCTGGCCTCTTCAGACCCTCCTGGTGTTTCTCTTGGAGCCCATCTTGGGGCAGTCTTGGAGTCATCGTGGGCAGTCATGGTCTTGGACCGTCTTGGCGATTTTGTTAGCTCGCGTGGGCCGTATTGGAAGCCATCTTGGGCATGTTGGACGCCTTGGAGAGCGCCAGGGAGCCGTCTGCCAGCCCAGGAAGCGCAGGAAGTGGGGGGCGATGCACGCAGCGGTCCGCGGCTAGAGGTGTGAGGGCATCCCTCTACGACGGCAGAACTTGGCATCCTACCACGCCTCGACGTGCCAGGGGGCACGAAGGTGGATGTGATCCATGCCCCTCCACCGCCCCCACCCCCCGCCCATTCCTCTTTGCAAGTAGGCACGAAAAGTACCATAGATATATACATATGAATATGCCCTTGTATTTATAGATATTGGTAGTCCTCATCCTCCCCTGACAATTTGTTTTGTCCATTCGCCCGTTTCGCGCATTGTGTGTCACACCATGTCAACGGTTGGTATGTTGTGTGTCTGCTTCCCGATAGAGTATTCGACCTAGGACCGAAGGGTGTTTGCCGTTGGTTCCCAGGCTGTTGTGTCCGTAGTTGTTATTCAAGCGTCTATGCATGTCATAAGTTGTGTTTGATGTATTATGTCTGCGGGTTTAGGCCTCTTCTTCCTCCTCCGTTTTCTCTCTATCGTCCCTTCATCACGATTCCATCTCCCCTCCTTTCTCGCGCTGTTAGGTTGGATCCTTCGGCTTGAAGCTTCCAGCGGAGCACAACCCGGAGGGCATCGGCCTCCACACCGAGCGGCAGCCGAAGGAGCGAGAGAAGTGGGCCTTTAGTGGCGTCAAGTCGAGTTGAGCCGTCGGCCTTCAGGCACTCTGTTCTAGCCAGCAGGCCGGGCTACACTACGTATTTGTGAACGGGGAGCCGTCGGCATACCCAGAGAAGGAGGGAGGTTGTTGGTTGCAGCCTGGCGCGAACAGCGTCCGCAGTCACCCCGCCCATCAGAGCAAGCACGAGTGCTCAAAAGCAAGCCAAGCGAGCGTAAAGGCCCACACCAGCCCCAGAACACAGCCGCGGATGAGTGATGAGTGTAACGTGTCCGCTCCCCTCCTCACCATCATCTCCCTCCCGTTCCTCCATCCCCGATCCTCCCACTGGCAATTCGGAGGAGGAGCAGCACCCGGAGCAGCAGGAACAGGGAACAGAGGAGCATTGTCTTCGACAGGATGTCGCGCCCATTGTCAAGCAGTGGCGAAGAGTCCTGGCGTGCCTCTAGGCCTACCAAACAATGTTCTAAGAACCTTTTGTGGTTTCCACGAAATGTTCTTAGAACATTTCTGGCTGGGACTGTCTTGTCTTGTCACATCGGGCTTATGTTCTAAGAACATTGTTTCTGCTATTAGAACATGTTTGGGTTCTAAGGCCATGTCGTGGTAGGCCTATAGGAATGCCAGGACGGTCGGTCCCTGCTCAACATTGGCCTTTGTGAGCAGGACAGGCTGTCGTTGCAGCAGGCCCGAGCCGCCGAGTCCGCCAAGTCCGCGGGCGGCAGGAAACGGAACAGACGTGGAGGAGGAGGGGGAGGAGGAGCAACAGCAGGAGGAGGGGCGGCAGGAAACGGAAGAGAGGTGGAGAAGGAGGAGGAGGAGGAGCAACAGCACGAGGAGGAGAAGAAGGGGTGGAGAGAGCAGGAGGAGAGGCAGAAATAATGGATCAGGAGGAGGAGGGGCAGGAAGAGAAGGTTCAGGAGCACCAGTATGACCCATAACAGAGGAGGATTGGCAAGAGGAGGATGAGGAACCTGCTGAACCGCGATGGTTCGTCGTTGGTTACAGAGCGGTCGGACTCGCTAGCTTATGGCCCAGGTCTGAGCGTCGCGCAGTGCAGTTCTTGGCCCTCGTTTAGCAGTGGATGCACCCTGCTCTTACGGCTGGACGTGGGTCGAAGGCATGATTCCCTCCGTACGTCTGGGCGTGAGTGGTCCTGGCCCAGAACAGACCTCCCCGGTTCCACGATGGCCCAGCAGGAGATTGGGCCAGGCACATGTCTGTCAACGTCCAGTTCCCAGTGTTGAGCGTGGAGCGTGCTCCCTTTTCCCTGATCGCAGGCGCTCGCTGTTCCCACGTCGCCGCGGTGGTGTGCTTCCCAGAGGGAAGCCGTTCCATTGCTCACGTCTTCGGGGGCGGCCACGAGGGGGTGATGACTAGGGGGGGTGGATATCATGGTGTGGGCCATGATATCTCCTAAGATTTCATGGCGCCTCTTCTTATCTTAATACGTCCAGGGCACCCCCCTGGGCCGTGCACATGCCGCCAGCCATGATTTGCGCCCCCCGCCCTCTTGGACGCCCCCCTCTTGGCCGCCCCCGATGCTCACGTTTGCAGCCGGAAGCCGCATCAGACGATTGAGTTCCCCCACCCAGTTCGCCAGCACAGTACGGGTGTGAGAGCGCGCGCTTCCCAGCGTGAAGTTCCACATCGAAGAACGACCCCAGACGGGGCAGGAGGAAGGGAGGAGACTGAGGAAGCTTGAGCGGTAGGAGGAGCAGAAGATTGCGGATGCTGACGTAGATGAGGGGCCGGCGGAGAAGGTTGAGGAGGACGCATAACGATAGCGACGACGTCGGTGGCGGCGGCGACGACGACGACGAGCAGTAGAGCGATTTGGCGAAGGGTGAAGAAGGAGCCAGAGCAAAGAAAGGCTTCTTGACTGCAAGGTGGGTGCGCGAGAACATCGGGCATGGCATAGCGGACGCAATTTCGCGTATCCCCACCAGCCCATCCCAGGAACGATGCCCAGGGGATTTGTTCTTATCGGGGAAGTGCGGCATCATGGGGATATTTCGGGGAGCCTCAGTTGGGCAGTGATCCATCAGTTGCCTGCGTGGGTCGTTTGGGGTTTCTCTTGGGAGCCTGGTAGAGTCTTTGTGCGTCGTGGGGGCCTCTTGAAGGTCGCTTTGGGGCCTCTTGTGTGCCACTTGGGGGTCTCTTGAAGCCGCTTGGGCGCATCTTGGGGCCCTCTTGGAGCTCTCTTGGAGGCTCGCTGGGCCGTGGTGGGGCCATCCTGGAGGCTATCGGTCAAAGAAGACAGGGAGCGCCTTAAACTTCCTCGCCCCCCACAGAAGGCCACGATGTGCCCAAAACCTAGGAAGCATCAATGTTTGTTTGCCCCATCGCTGAGGCCAGACTGGACGCTCTAACTACCCGTGACCCCCGACTCCGTCCAGACGCAGGGGGAGGGGGAGGGGTTAACCCCTCCCCTGAGGGGAAGACGGGGGGAGGAGGGAGGAGAAAACGTTTCAAAACACCTCAGCCCAGAAAGGGCTGGTGGGATTCCACGTCACATGATTCCGAATATTGCGGTCGACATGTTCGCTCCGATGCAACACCCGTTTCCACATGTTTTATTGGTTACGCTTTGTTGCAAGCGCAATGGGACACGAGCATCGGCATCATATAGTTGGTGAAATATTGTTGAGTGAGCTTGTAAGCGTAGTGGCTACTTTGTTGCATTGTCGGAACGGATCTGCCCATGATGAGTTTGATGAATGAGAGAGAGAGAGTGGAGAGATCAGAGATCGAGGAGGGAGGAGAGAGAGAGAATGAGAGAATGAGAGAAGAAGGGCACGGAGGGAGGAAGTGATCGAAGAGGAGAAAGAGAGAAGAGGAGGAGGAGGATAATGATACATAACATCAGGAGGAGGTGCGGAGATGGAGCAAAAGGTACAGTGGGTAAGAGGAACAGCCGTTATGACACTCCTATTACGCATCCATATCGTGTTGCGCCTCCTCCTCTTCCTGTCCATGTCCCCCCTCCCTCTCCCTCCCTCGCGGCCCGCCTCGTCTCCACCACCTCATCCTCCTCTTGCTGCTGCGCACCAGTCATGGTGAACGCTCCGAGTCGCAGGGTGGCGACAATTAAAGATGTGGTGGTACCCGAGAAATTCAGGAGCACCACGGAAGAGAAAAGACGCGTGCCAGTCGGTGGGGATGGCGACGGGTCGCGCCCTCGGGATGTCGTATCGTTAGGCCTGAAGTCTGCTCCAGACTGAGCCCAGCCGTGCCCTTCAAAATACATGCCATGAGGGCTCCCGTCAGCCTCGTTGACAGGTTGTGCAGAACATACAGACACGCGCCACACGGGTTTCGGGTTTAGGGCTCAGGGTTTAGGATTCAGGGTGAAACAGGACGAAAATGTCAACACGTTGGACGTGTCCTACACATGGCGCGGTGCTCGCACCCCGCCATCCCTAGAAGCCCATGACATATGAAGATGCACAGTGGCGCACGCAGGCCAGCGGGGAAGGCCGTGTGGGCGTCGCGGCAGCGGACCGTCTGGGAACGCGAGGCGAACGTCTTCGGGGGCAGGGAGGAGCAGCGAGGAGCCCGAGGGATGATCAGCAGGTAGCAGGAGCCGCGCGGAAGCGCACGGCAGCCTTGGTGTCTGGGGCCGCTCAGTGGCGCGCGGTGGTCCTTGGACGCGCCCTCGAGCGGGCGCCGCGCGGGCGGAATGTCAGCCGCACCATATTTTTCGAGGACGACCGTTAGGGGCGCAGACCAGCCGTGCGGGCGGAATGTGCCCCGCGCCACGTTTTTTGGATGATCGCACAGGGCAAGGAATTACTGCGAAGGCATTACGGCCGGCGCCGCCGACCCTGAAGGGAGACCACGACAATGACGACGACGACGACGGCGACGACGGCGATGGCGACGACGACGACGGCGACGACGGAGATGACGACAACAACGGCGACGGCGACGACGACGGCGACGACGACGGCGACGACGACGACGACGGCGACGACGACAACGGCGGCGGCGGCAACGACGACGACGCTGACGTGGGCCATAGCCCTCAAGGATGGTTCTTGGGGTCTTTTCGGGAGTCTCTCGGGGGCCTCTTGAGAGGAATTGGGGGGCCTTTTGGGAGCCTCTTGGGGGCCTCGAGTTTTGGTCGTTCATCGAACCAGTTGAAGTATTGCTATCGTGCTGTACCGAGACTTAACCATATCTTCCGCACGACGTTGTTTGAAGTGGTCCGCCCAATTGCTGAAACCCACGACGCGAATACTTTAGCGATTTTCTGGCCCATGGCCCATGGCTTGGGACGCGAGGTTACATGGGATAAACACAAACAGTGTTGCCATTACGGATGGCCAGGATGGGGATACGGAGCACAGTCCGTACGTACAAGTACGGCGGCTTATTGGGGGAGTTGGGAAAATGTGATGCCAAAATTGATCCAAAGGTTTTCAGAAATTCGGAATCACATGCTGCATCGGCTTCCTATGATGCTACACGCCACAGCACCAGCCACGGGGTGGAGGGATCGTTCAACGTGGGCTGCTTGAGCCTCGGGAGCGCGACTGCCAGAATTCAAGTCTCATTATATGTGCCTCAACACGGATGGCAATATCATGCGTTTGCGCCTCTGTGGCGCGCGACGCATTCAAATGTATTGGAGAAGTTGTACCTCCGGGGACGCGACAGAATGGCGTATCCATTTGTAGTAAGGCCCGGCGACATTCTTGCATGGATGCACTTGCGTCGGTTTGCAAGTCCAGTTGCAAAAGAGTTAGTTGCAATCGATATGCTACAATGCGCTGTGCGACGACGGTTGGGCGTGGCGTTTACGGTGGATGGGCAGGATCCGCACGGGCATGGTCCTTTAACAATTGCGACTAGGGGGCGTGCATTTTCATTATATACAGAACTAATCGCAGCATGGCGATTAATTGTCCAAGGAGCGAGAGAGAGAGAGAGAGAGAGCGCTCCAAACGCAGAAAACAACAACAACAACAACAACAACAACAACAACACACATGAACCACTACTATGCTTAGTGTCGGCAGCTCT